TAGTTTCATGCTTGGTCAAGCGCGATACAAACCATGTAGTAGGAGTCCCCCAAGTCGCCGAGCTAGGGGATCTGCTGAAAGAGGTGACAGACAAGGTAAGCAATCAGAGCTCCGGCTGATTGTTCACATTCTCCCTATCTTGCAGGCAGCATGAAGGATAAAGAGAAGAAAAATGAGGAGAGATGATATGGGATACTTTTGCTTTTGAAGAAGTAACTTTCCACAGGCTTATTCTTGAACTGGGCTGGAGGGTTTTCTGGTTTCCTCCAGAGTATAAGGCCGACTGAAGAATTTGAGGGTCAAAACAAGTCCATCAAATCTAGAGTACGTTCGACCCTGCTGATATGGGATACTTTTGCTTTTGACAGAAGTAGTGGATGTATCGGCACGTGTGCTGTTACGCTTGTCTCCACATGCTTCCTTGTATCCTTCTCTCACTTGCCCTATTTGTTCCTCAGGCAGATGCGGTATCTTCCCTGGAAGCATAAGATGTTGAAGATGAGTACTCGAGAGCAATGCCAGGTAAGTAATCAGGTAAGGGGTTCCAGGCAGTCAGTTCCTGGCTGGAAGCTTGATTCCAAGTGCTGACTGATTGCTCTCTTTCTCCTTGTCTTGCAGGTAAGAACAAGGCCAAAGGAAAAGACAGGGAAAAAGCATGATATGGGATACTCTTGCTTTTAACCCTGATGATATGAGATATTCTTGCTCTAGTATAGCTTGTTTACAGAGGTATTATCGGGGGGAAAGAAAGCTGAATATTTCGAAAGGCTTCGTTGGGAGTGCCCTCTCAGATAAGAGAAAGGGTTGAGCATTTTTGCAGGTCTGCCTGTCCGTTAGGGATGGAGGTCGACATATATAGGAGTCTCTCTAACATCAAGTAATAATGCTATTCCTTTACCCTGCTTGGTTATAGCACGGTAGTGGGAGCTGCCAGCTTCACATGTTTTAACTCTGTCAGAGCACTTTGAAAAAGTGGTCTGTGGTATCTGGAAAGCTGATGTTGCGTGTGAAGATTACAGACAAGCTTTATCCAAGGAGATCCAGCTCTTGAAGTTGGGAAAGTGGTGCCTCTTCGATTTTTGAACAAGCAATCCTGTCGGGAATCTGGCTCTCGAGATTCGGAGAACGATGCCTCTTCGATTTTTGAGAAAGCAATCCTGCTGGGGGTCTGGCTCTCGAGATTCGGAGAGCGGTGTCTCTTCGATTTTTGAGAAAGTAATCATGTTGGGAGTCTGGCTCTCGAGATTCGGAGGGCGGTGCCTCTTCGATTTTGGAGCAAGCAATCTTGTTGGGAGTGTTTTCTCGAATGTGAGTAAAGGTTGGACGTGTTTGCTAGTCTACCTTGCCACGAAGCACAGAGGTTGACACACAGGGACTTTCCAATTATCCAGCAGTGGTACTATTCCTTTACCCTCTCTTCGATTTTTGAGAAAGTAATCATGTTGGGAGTTTGGCTCTCGAGATTCGGAGGGCGGTGCCTCTTCGATTTTGGAGCAAGCAATCTTGTTGGGAGTGTTTTCTCGAATGTGAGTAAAGGTTGGGCATGTTTGCTAGTCTACCTTGCCACGAAGCACAAAGGTTGACACACAGGGACTTTCCAATTATCCAGCAGTGGTACTGTTCCTTTACCCTCTCTTCGATTTTTGAGAAAAGTAATCATGTTGGGAGTCTGGCTCTCGAGATTCGGAGGGCGGTGCCTCTTCGATTTTGGAGCAAGCAATCTTGTTGGGAGTGTTTTTCTCGAATGTGAGTACAGGTTGGGCATGTTTGCTAGTCTACCTTGCCACGAAGCACAGAGGTTGACACACCGGGACTTTCCAATTATCCAGCAGTGGTACTGTTCCTTTACCCTTGTGGGTAATAATATGGTAGCTAGACCTTCAAAATTTATGTGTTTAAACTTTGTTAGTGTTGTTTCTTTGCAATTCTTTTACCCTTCTTGGTCAGAGCGATGTAGTGGGAGCTGCAAGCTTCACGTGTCTCAAACTTTGTCAGAGAACATTGGCAAAGTTATCTGTGGTACCCATGAGCTACTGTTGCGTGTGGGAAGTGGGTGATTGAACAGTACGATTCATGTGCTTTCTACTTCGTCAGAAATCTTCGACAGAATGCCCATAATTTCCGCAAAGCTGAGTGTGCGTGTGACAGGTGCTGACAAGGCTGGAAAAAGTAGGTGCCTCTTCGATTTCTGAGATCGGCCCTCGTGGTCTCTGAGCATCCCAGCTTTTGAGAAAGCAAGCCTCTTCGATTTCTGAGATCGACCTTCGTGATCTTTGAGCAGCCCAGCTTTTGAGAAAGCAAACGCCTCTTCGATTTTTGAGATCGACCCTCGTGGTCTCTGAGCAGCCCAGCTTTTGAGAAAGCAAACGCCTCTTCGATTTCTGAGCAGGCGCCTCTTCGATTTCTGAAGCTTCGTCGAGTGCAGATTTTTATAGGGGCTGACATTAAGTTCCAAAGCACACTTGAATATCCACCAGTAGAAGCTCCATTCTTGCACTTCTAAGATCTTGATTTGTCCGACCTCTTCTCTCTTCAACACCTTTGAAAATGTATGGCCCCTCCGACCGTCGTTTTGACTTGAACCTTGTTGAAGAGGCAGCCCCGCCTTCTCCAGACAACATATGGCGCCCATCCTTCGTCTCCCCTACTGGTCCTCTTACCGTTGGGGATTCCGTGATGAAGAATGATATGACCGCTGCGGTAGTGGCCAGGAACCTTCTCACTCCCAAAGATAACAGACTACTTTCCAAACGGTCTGATGAGTTGGCTGTTAAGGATTCTCTGGCTCTCAGTGTTCAGTGTGCAGGTTCTGTGTCTAATATGGCCCAACGCCTATTTGCTCGAACCCGCCAAGTTGAATCATTGGCGGCTGAAGTGATGAGTCTCAAACAGGAGATTAGGGGCTCAAGCATGAGAATAAACAGTTGCACCGGCTCGCACATGACTATGCTACAAACATGAAGAGGAAGCTTGACCAGATGAAGGAATCTGATGGTCAGGTTTTACTTGATCATCAAAGATTTGTGGGTTTGTTCCAAAGGCATTTATTGCCTTCGTCTTCTGGGGCTGTACCGCGTAATGAAGCTCCAAATGATCAACCTCTGATGCCTCCTCCTTCTAGGGTTTTGTCCAGTACTGAGGCTCCGAATGATCCTCCTCCGGTGCCTTCTCTTTCTGGGGCTCTACCGACTGCTGAGACTTCTCCTAAGCAACCTTTGTGAAGGCTCCCTCTTTTTTGTTTATTTTGACTCAAGTATATGTACATATTTGTAACTTATCGGGGATATCAATAAATAAGCTTTCCTTCATTTCAACGTATTGTGTTAAATACACCAAAGCCTTCTTCGCTAAGTTCTTTGAATTTTCTTTTGTTGAAGCTTGTATGTTGAAGCTTTGTGAGTGGAGCATATAGGTTGAGGTAGTGTTCCCTTATTAGAAAAAAAATAGAGAAAACTTATAAATAATAAAAAACGTAATGGGGTGCTTGTACAAAGGTTATAGTTGGAATCTGGTTTAACGAACATGGTAGAGTTAAGTATATACATTGTGGGGTTAGCGAAGTTTGTGGACAGCAGCGTGACCACCATTAGAGAAACTGCCGATAGTACTTTGCCAGTAAGTGGCAGTGGATGTTCTACGTCTCCACCTCCTAGCATTTCAGGCTCATCACATTTGCAAGATCCAGATCTGAAAGCGAGTAAAAGTTCTCGAATGTCTCAGCGTCCATATCCTTTAGGTACTGGAGCAGATTCTGGGTTCCAATGGCATGTTTTGCTCTCTATAGGGCCTACTTGCATTAGAGGGTGTGTAAGCAGACGTGTGAACAAGTGGATAAGGTTTATAAATCGATGAAACTTGAAAAATAAACATAAATAGATAAAAATGAAAACTGAATAAAAAAGAGCTATAAAAATTAATGTGCTTGTGGTCAATTATGTGTACGATTTTTGAGAATTCCACATGGTTTAAGCTCTTGAGATCTATCATCGTATTCCGCTTTGTCTTGGTTATTTCATGTATCAAGACTTTGTATCATTTTCTCTATGTAATTTAAAATATGAAGCAATTATTGATCAAGATACTTCTTAATCATGTATAAAACAACTTAGTCTTGGATGAAGAGGAAAGATCTAGAATAACGTTTCAAAAACACAATGGGCATAATTCTGTGTGCCGTTTAAGTTACATCTTATCAGATTTTATTCTTTCAAACCTATTTGTAATGACACATCCTTATCTTTATATTAATTATTGTATGTTGAAAGAAATCTTTACAAATTAAACGATCACACGCATTTTATGTAATAGATTCTATGTACAAAAAAAATAAGACAAATATAAACAAATAAAATGTGACGTAATTATAATTAACATACTATACCTAAATGGGATAAGATTAAAAGACAAATATTTTCACACTTTATTGTAACCTTTGAATCTTATAACATCCAACGATCATAACTAAATGTAAATACGCCTAAATTTTTTTGGGTCCTTGTTTTATCTACTTTTTTTTCTTGAATATTTCTTGAACAATTCTTAAATACACCTCATCGGCCATCCAGTAATGATCAACAATTTTGTATACGTGAAGTTGATCAACAGCCACTTGGCAAAATAAAACACACACATGCATGAAGAACCTGGTTACTTTTCGCCATAATCCATTGAGTTAAAGAAACAACGACATAATAAATTCAACACTCTCATAACAAAGAAAAAAGGCTTATAATACCAATGAATATATACGAGTACTATCTGCTTATATTTTTTTTCTTCTTGTTCTTTTTTTGTTTACAGGGGTGATAAAAATTCAGAAAGTTGAATTCAAACAAGATTTAGTAGTAAGATGTTATAGGTTCGATTCTCACCAAAATGCAAATTTGAACAAAATTATTATGGCTAGCTAATTGTGAGGGTTAACTTATTCCCTCACCCCTTTATGTAGATGATATCGTATGTATTGAAAAAATTATCTTTATCAATTGAAATGTAAACCATGAAAAAAAAATTGTTATTAGCTTTCTTTAAAACTCATCATGTGCTCATCCCTTTGAGGAAGAATTGGTCGAATTACGTTAATTGAAAATGAGTACAAGATTCCCCGCTATTAGCAGTTCTCGTTAGTGTGTGATCTGTAAATTTCTACGTAAATCTATACCGGTAGCAGCTGAAAATTGGGTGCTACACGTAAGTCTTTCTGGCTTGAGGTTGTGGATATGCCTTGGTGCTGATGCTAAGAGTAGTCAATCTCCCCTAAATTTTGTTTACCAAAAGAAAAAAAAAGATGAGTACAAGATAATAGCTAGACAGCATGGGCAGTAGGGAATTAGACTATAACAACAACGACCTACAACCCAAGCCAAAATAAGCAACAGCAATTACCATTCTCAATCAAAACATCACTAATAAAATCGAGGGGTTCCTCGATCCAAATCTCCTCCGTGATCATGCAATCCTCCCTAGCTCCAAAAGGAAAAAAGAAAAAAAAGAAAATTCAACATATTGATCTACTATTGAACTTGTGATGAAAGGCCTATTATGATTTGTCTGAGTGACCATTAGCTCTTATTGAATTTGAAGTCTTCAACCAAATGGAGGATAATGGCGGTGAAGAAGTTCACTTTGAATATGAGAATCATTGCTTGTCGCCAATGTCATTGGCAACTGCACAAAAAGTTGAACCAGAGGTATGCCGGAGGGCAAGGAGGCACAGGGCAATGCCCTTTACATCCACCCTCTATGACCACATCATTCATAAACACAACTGGCTATTTTCCGGCTGGATTATAAAGGATAGGGTAATGATGTGAAGCTCTTTACATTCATCGTCCATATTACCTGTAGGGCCTGCTGGCTTGCATCATTATCCTCTCCTCTACAATCCAGCTGGAAAGCAGACAACTATATTTACGGGAGGTGTGGTCATAAAGGGTGGATGTAAAGGACTTCGCCTTATGCTTCCTTTTTTCCTGGCGTACCTTTGGTTCCACTTTGCCTGCAGCCGCCAATGATACTAGCTACAAACAATGACTTTCAAATTCAAAATGAACTTTTTGACCACCATTATTTGCCATTTGGTGACTCCCTTGAGAGAGGAAACTAGACTTTGTCAAGAGAAGACCACATAATATCTGTGAATTTATATGATGAAGAAGAAAGGCGAATGATGTGAATCGGCATGCTTTACAAGGTAAGTATATGAGAGGAAAAATCTAGAATGGCAATTTTGAAAGTATTGTGGGCATAAATCTGTGTGCGGTATTTTTTTATCAAAATTATGTTCGGTATTAAGTTTTGATACACAGTATCTAGTTTTGTTTTTCCACACTTGTTTAACAATGGCTCATCCTTATCTTTACATTGATTACTTGACGTTGAAAGGAATCTTTACGAATTCATTGAAACAATGTTACATGCGTTTTTTTTATAGAGAAATTCATTGTACGAAGAAATAAGAAAGAATAAAACTTAGCGTAATTTATAATTAACATACCATTCGTAAACATAGGAAAATATCTTTAAAGAGAAAAATGTAAATTTTTATATGTCACTCCTTTTATTATGTGTTGAAGAAAAATGTGGTAAAACACCAAATGAAATACTTAGTATAATGAAAAACTAATAAGTTGAAAAAAATGAAAAAGGAAAGAAAAACTAATAAGACCATCTTCAACCCATGACCTAAAATCTAAAATTTTTAGCCTAGAAAATTTAGGTTTTATCCCAGAAACAATTTTTTTGCTCCAACCATTATGGCCTAAAATTTTAGCCCCAGATTATTAAAAAAATGAATTTAGGCTAATTTTTTTTTAAAAATAAAAATTATGTAGATTATCCTAAATTAATTTTATGAACATTTTAACCTAAAAATATTTCAATTCCGATAGATATTGAAAAATCATTAAATCGATACATGAAACACTATGGAAGAATATGAAAATCATGATAGAGATGTATAAACACAAAATACATGAAACACACACGACACACAAAACACATATAAAGCACATACAAAACACATGATAGAGATGTATAACACACCAAACATGTGAAACATATGACACACAGGAAACACATACCAAATACATACAAAACACATGAAATGCATGAAACACAAACCTACACACATGAAACGCAAACCTTCAATCATCCTGTATATAAGCATAGGTTGAATATCTAACCATCACACAACATATTCACCAATCTTCCAAATTTCAAAGTGTTTTTGTTTCCTCAAAATCATCAATATCTGATTCTTATCAATGGGTAATAGAAGAAGGTGTAGCTTGGCAATGCATATGACACAATACCAAGCAAGCATTGCAAATGCGGATGCAGAAATGAACAACGAATAAGTCGAATTTGCAAACTCGCTTATGCAATATAAGCACCATGCCGAATCTAGCTATCGTGGTTCTGTCACAGGGTGTTCATTTGTGCAGTGTGGTAGAGAAAAGTGTCATGATCGGATGATGAAGGATTATTTCATCAAACGTCTGAGATATCCTCCTCATGATTTTTGGAGTCGATATTGGATGAGGAAAAAGCTTTTTGAAAGCATCTTGAATGTAGTTGTCCATCATGACCACTACTTTGCAAGGAAGATAAATGTTGTAGGCCGACAAAGTCTATCACCTCATCATAAGCACACATCTGCATTTCTGATGCTAGCTAATGAGTGCTCTGCAGACTCAACCGACGGATATTGTCGACTTGCGGAGAATACTGTTATTGAGAACCTCATGCGCTTCTGTAAGGCAATTGAGGCCATATATGGAGCCACATACCTTAGCAAGCCTAACCGTGAAAATTTGAAGAGGCTTCTACACAAGGCAAACAAAAGAGGCTTCATTGGCATGACAGAAAGTCTCGATTGTATGCATTAGGAGTGGAAGAATTGTCCTACTGCTTAGGCTGGCCAAATCAAGGGCCGTCACAACAAGCCAACCATCGTGCTCGAGGCTGTGGCGTTTTACGACACATGGATTTGGCATGCATTCTTCGGTGCTCCTAGATCAAACAACGATATCAACATTCTTTGATCTTCTCCTTTGTTTGGTGATGTTGTCAATGGATTGGCACTAGAATGGAGGTACAAGGTAAATGGTAATAGGTATGAGCTAGGTTACTACTTAACTGATGATATTTATCCTAGTTGGTTTACCTTTGTGAAAAGTTATTCTCATCCCGATAGTGCGAAGATGAAATTATTTTCGTAGAAACAAGAATCTTACAGGAAGGATGTGGAGAGAATGTTCGGGATCGTACAAGCTCGATGGGCCATTGTTAGAGGGGTTGCACAATTGTGGCATGCCGAAGACCTCCATTCAATCATGATGACGTGCATAATTTTGGACAACATGATTGTGGAAGATGAGTACGTAGAAATTGAAGAAGATTTTGATGAAGATGTGGATAATGACCAACCAATATATACGGGAGCTATGACAAGAGATATTGAATATCTCGCTGCAACCATATATGAGACCTGACAGGATACGGTCACACTGAGTGAGTATATGAGATGTTTAAATAGAATTCAAGCTCCTCAAGGTTATGACACACTCCTCAAGGATTTGGTTGAGCATATATGGCCTGAGAAGGAGAATGTTGATGATGTTGCTGTATTAATGTGTTCTTGTGTTAAATTTAAGTGTGATATGTTGTTATTTTATGTAATAATTTTAAGTGTACTATGTTGATATTTTCTAGTAATAAATTGAAATGTCTTCTTGTGACAAGTCTTTTGTCTAGTATGTTGTCAAAATTATTGAAGACCGTTTGATTTATTGAAGGCATCTATTGTACTTCAAGGTGTGTAATAATAAATACAATAATTATTGAAGGCATCTAGATTAATAGAAACAATAATTAAGAAGCCATACATTTAATACACACGATAATTAATAAGTCATAAACTTAATATAAATAACAATGAATAAACTACATTAACTTAATACAAACGAGAATTAATAAACCACATAAAGCACATAAACTTAATACAATTGATAATTCATAAACTATATAAACTTAATAATGATATCCACCATCTTGACTTGGTGGTGGACTTGGGATATAGCCTTGAGATGAATCATTATCTTGAAATATACTCCTTGTGGCATGCCTTCACAAAATTTCCTTTTGTTTATCACGTAAGAACTTCTTCCTCTATGGAGTGTATTTGCTGAGGTCCTCCATCATGAAATTACATTTGAACCTTTCTTTCTCCCTATCCCCTTCTTGCGTCATGGCCAAACGCATTCGGGTCGCTTCTTCCTTCTGAGAGCTATGACTTTCGGTCAATCTTGCAAATCCGGTAGCAATTTGTGCACTAATCAGATCTTGGGACTTCCATTTTCTCTTTGCTTCCTTTTGCTTATCTTTTCCCGGGGCCTTTGCAAAAGAAGAAGTTGGGGTCAATTCATCGACACTTTCATTGACATCATTTGTCGGTGCGACTTCACGGTGGAATAATCTTCCCCATTGTTGGTCTGCATTGGTTCCCCACCTCGGACAATCCTTGAGGATGTTCCAAGCATGATGCAACTTAAAAGCTTGATTTTTTGGTGTAGTTCTTGTCTTGTAAATTACCATTGATTTGTCACCCTATGCAAAAAATACATAAAAACAATTAATTGCAAAATAATATTATGTACATGACAAATAAAATATCAACAAATTAAGAAACTCACAACTTCTGCGGCTCTCCTTCCACTAGCCATGTCAACCACAGCTCTCTCCAAGCTTCCCTTCCATAAAGTGCACGCTTTGTTGATAACCTTCCATCAATCGTAAACGCCAGCACCTTCCCTTTAGCCAACGTTGGAGTTTTCATGGAACTTATCAACGATTTTACCCCACAAGACATTTTTATTTTGATTTGTGACAACGGCACCATCTTCGCTAATAGAAACCCATGCCAAACATAAAGCAACATCTTCCTTAAAGGTCCAATTACGACCTCTAATATGCTCTTTTGCCATCTTGAAAAATTTGGAAATGGGAAGAAATGGCAGAAAGAAAAATTGGAAGAATTGTAGAGAAAAGTGAGTTTTGTATGGATATTTGAACAAATACATAAGTATTTATAGATTTTTTTGGATGAATTTTGAGTTAAATTTTTTTTTTTACTTATTTTAGCCGTTGGATTTAAATTTGGACCATTAGATCTTTTTTTTTACTGTTAGATTTGATTATATTTGATCTCAACCGTTAGATTCAATGTATTTTAAAATTAGATTTTGTTATAAAAAATAATTTGAATCTGGACTGTTGGATCAACCAACAGTCCTAGTACATCAGCCGTTTGATTTAAAATAGAGCCATTGGGCTTATGATGGTGGTCGATAGCTGCCCTGACAGTGGGCTGTCAGGCGCTGATGGCGTGTCAACACGTGAGAGATGAGGCGCACGTTGGTGGGCCGAGACTGGATTTTTTCCTAGCGCGTCCATGTGCATAGCTGGGCTCCATCATGGATTTTGGGCTAAACTAAATCTTAGCTGGTATTTGGCTTTATTTTAGGCTTTAGGTTTTAGGTCCAAATTAGAACCTTGGTTGGATTGGATTTTTGGGGGTTGGGGGGGGGGAATAGAAGGGGAAAAATAGGTTTTGGGCCATGGGTTATAGTTGGCCTAATAAAAAGATGAGTCCAAAATGATAAGGTTTATATTTTCCTTTTTCCTTATTTAAACATTTTATGGCTCTATGGATTGGATTTTTGGAAGGGGGGAATAGAAGGGGAAAAATAGGTTTTAGGCCATGGGTTGTAGTTGGCCTAATAAAAAGATAAGTCCAAAATGATAAGGTTTATATTTTCCTTTTTCCTTATTTAAACATATTATGGCTCTATGGTTGACCTAATAAAAAGATGAGTCTAAAATGATAAGGTTTATATTTTCCTTTTTTCCTTATTTAAACATATCATGGCTCTATGGATTGGGTTTTTGGGAGGGGGGGGGGAATATATGGGGAAAAATAAATTTTAAGCTCTGGGTTGTAGTTGGCCTAATAAAAAGATGAGTCCAAAATAATAAGGTTTATATTTTCCTTTTTCCTTATTTAAACATATTATGGCTCTATGGATGTTTGTGCCTGGGGAGTAATGGAGTGAGTGTCTGACAAGTACCTGT